GGAGAGGTGAGCACAGTAAGCCTGATTCCCCGTTTGGACTTCTCTTTTGACATCCACCCCTTGGCGCTCATATGGCCTTATGCAGTCGCGAGCGCCGTAAACTAAAAATCTGGCGCTCATATGACCTTATGCAGTTGCGAGCGCCGTAAAAACTCTACTGAAACTAAAAAACTAAAATCTTACTAAAACTAAAGATTAGAGTTTCTGCTTTGAGTATAATGATTCAAAACGAGCAGCATTATAGGTTTTGGTTTGGTGTTGATGTCCGTTACGTCGACAAAGAGTTGATGTTTTTAACATCACCATCGACACAAATTAAAGAGGCGGGCTTTCCATACTGCTAGTGGAGGCCATCCCAGACTGAGAGGGATACATTCATGTACAATATCTCAACAGAAAGACTGAGATAATCCATAGAATCTCTTACCCATTTGGGAATCGAACCCGGGTCTCCTGAGTGCGACAGCGACCAATACACTGCTCTAAAGACGCCCGTCCAGTGATTTAGCGTTAGATCCCGAAGAAGTTTTCAAGCGATTCAAAATTGACGCTACTGCATTTTCAGTTGTATGATCAGGTTACCTACCCTCAATATTTTGGTCTGACATCATCATAGAATAAAAACACTCGCTAGGAATATGAATAACATTTATCTATAGGACTACTTTTCTTTAAAAAAACACAGTACTGTTCCATGTTGTCACAAGGAATGCAAACGCGGACGTAAGCAAACACGGTGTGAAAAGAGCAGCCTGCCATCACGATGTGCAATCAAGGTTGGCATTCGATTCCTGCGTTCTCAACCTCGACAACAGTGACAAAGTTAGTGTTATTGACCTGTAGAACTGTGTCTAACTCCTCCTATCATAGCAAGCCGGGGACAGAGTCAGGTTGTAATTTACCTTCCAAAAATTACAGTTATCAATATTCCCCCAGCACCCGTGTGCCGATAATCAATCCTGTAAAGTTCATTCCTTTTGTTATCTTCACAGCTTAAGCTTGACTTAGATGTGAGCAACAACAGACAGCCAAGACGTAACAAAAAATTATTTTAAGACGAATTCCTTCGTCAGCAGTTGTTGAGTGGATAAGACAAGATACATCTTTATTGTCCAGATTCAAGATCCTGGCACATTGATTTGGTGTTTCACTTTCACCACGTACACACACACACACACACAGACACACCCACACATACACCCACCCACACACGCACACCCACACAACCATGCACACACACGCAGGCTTAGGGTCACATGCATAATATAAATGAACAGTAATATAAACAATAAAAATCTTAAGCTAGATATAATATACCCAGTATTCTGACTGTAACTCAATGTTGTTCTGATGAAGTAAACACACCCGGTGGCCACTGAGTAGCGCCTAATTTTTTTTAAAAAGGTTGTCTTTCGTGAGTTACACTATTTTCATGTTCTTCTAGCTCTGGAAATCTTTTCCCAAATCTGGTCGCCTTTAAGCACAAGGGGGCTATCCCGAAAAACGCTGTTTTGAGAAAATCGAAGGTAAAGTTTTTGCGCCTTGCTCAGTTTCTTTAAAAGTCAAGGAGAGTTTTCTTTATAACCAAACACACACTCACACATATATACACCCCAATGAAACCAAACTTCTCCGATAGGTAGGGCAATGCCCACTTCTGGCGTAGGTCCAGTTTTCTGGAAACCCCCGAAATCTGGGTTAGCCCGCTTGTCCTTAAAAGCGACCAATTGATGTCCTGGCAGTGGAGGGCTCTAAATGCTTCACTTTTAAAATTGGGAGTGTATACAGACCCGGTAACAGGGAATAAAGTCACAAAGTATACAGACCCGGTAGGGGAACTCTTTTGTGATTTCGGAACGTTTCGGCACCCTCTTGGCTCAGGCTTGAGGGTAGAACTAGGTTCTTCTAGATCTATGGCCTAGGTCTAGATTCTAGATCTAGACAGACATAAATAAATCATTGATCTAGTTTCGAGGCTAGCCTAGATCTAGATCTAAAACTAAATGAAGATTGCGGATGTCTTTTCGAT